TTTTTCACTTGTGAGCTCAGTTTTTATCATGAGCCACAAATACTGTCAGACACCTCCCCACTCCCAGTGAAATGAGCTTATTTTATTCATTTTCAAAAAGCGGGGGTGCCAAGCACACAAGTCTGTCTGAATTAGCATGGTCTGTCTGTCAGTCACAACTTGAAGTGAAAACGCAGTGCCAAGAAAAGAGCAGCTAGCTCGGCTGCCAGCCCGGATAACTCACAAGGACTTTGCCTCAGAGCAACCACCATCTATTTGCATGCAGAAGAAGAGCTTTCTACGTAATTCGCAATGGAACAAAGGATATTAAAAAGACATCTATCAGAGTCAAAATTTAATGCAATTAATGACTTTTACTACTCCATCAAGGATACCCTTAAGAGAGCGAGGTGGTTTTTTTTGTTTTGTTTTAAACCATACATGCTTGAAAGGGAAGAAGCATACGCCAACTGAAATCTGGCCCTGCTGACTGTCTTGAGCTACTTCATCAACTGCCAGGAGTTTCCTCATGATTATATTTGCTTCATGGGCAAAGTCTCATTGCAGAAAAGAGAGCAAAAAGATCTCTCTCTCTCTGTGTTATCAGGGAAAATTGTGACTTCATAACTTTCCCTGGCAAAGGTTCTCAGGGCCACCAGGAGAGAAGGGAAATGAAGAGAGGCATCAAGATAAATATCTAAGAAGCCACTTGGAAAAGTAAGACTGGGACCCTTCCCTACCTGGGTTACACATGTAACTAGAGTGCACACACAGACAGAGAGCCTGACATATGCAAAGTCCAGAGAAGGCAGTTCCTGAGTCTCCCGAGTCTCCTTGCCCAGTGTTTCTGGGATCATGCCTTTCCCAGGCCAACCAGCCCACCGCCATCCTTGGGGGCATCCTTCTCTTTCTAAGAACTGTCTCTATTTCCGTTACTGAGCACGTGTCCCTGGTTGTGCTTCTTTGTACTTTTGTCTCTGCTCCATGCTCATAATAGAAACATGCCCTGGAAACTGCAGTTTATCACAAGATTAAGTCAGTCCATGTTCACACAGCATTTACAGCGCCAGTGGAAGCTCATCTACCTGCTAGCGTCCTTAGAGCAGGGTTCCGCAGAACGAAACGGCATCTTCCTATGGAATGCTGACTCTTGAACTTCATCCAGAACACAGTTACTTCTGGCTTTCTAAATAACACACATAAATCAGCCTACAGCCCTTAATGTCAATAACTATTAGGCCAGAGAAGTTGTTCCATTTAAAGAAAAACAGGTGTTCCTATTTTCAATTACCTCAGAATTCCAGAGAAGCCTAAATATTGATTTGATTATTTATTCTTTCACTCAACAAATATTTATTAAAGACCTACTAGGACTCCTATGAGATAGGAATACAGATGTGAATTTAAAAACGGAACAGAATGAAAATTCACACCTTCGTGAACTTGTCTTCTAGCGATGGAGATAAACAGTAAGCAAATAAGGAAAATATATAGGACAGTCTGTTTGGTGAAAGCCTATATCTCTTTTGTACAAATTGCTTTGTATGTGGTTGATGAATCGGAAGCCAACGTGGGTATGATTTATGCATCATTTCCCCCCAGAATATTAACGCTGCAACGTTTGCACGGACAAGTTTAATCATTTATTTAAGAGTCAGCCATAGAATTGGGGACACAATTAGCAAGAGTAGCAGCAGCAGCTGCCTAACTTGAGAGTAATAATAACAGCACTGTGAGCTGGTTTGCTGAGTGCCGTGGTTCACCTGTGCAGGAACCACAGCACTTTCCGCTGCCTCACACTACTGAGGGGTGCTGAAAGTGGGGGTAGACGGGTAAGCCGGAAGGCTTTCTTCTTTGCATCAAAACAGAAAAACAAGAAGAAATTTGCTTGGACTAATATTTTTTTATCAGTGTCTTGACTTGACACTTCCATAGATTTCCTGTTTTGTTGTTTTGGGGTGAGTGTGTGTGTGTGTGTTACTAGAGCAGATGTCTACCTCAGATGTCCTTTTTCATGTACTGTCCACCTTGACTTTTGAGACAGAATGTCTCACTGGCCTGGAACTCACAAAGCAGATGTGGCTGGCTGGCCAGCAAGCCCTAGGAAACCAACCATACCTGCCTACGTCTTCCCACGGCTAGGAGTACAAACAGGGTACCTGGCTCGGCAACATGAGTCCTAAGGATCAAACTCAGTTCTTAAAGACTGCACAGCAGGAGCCTTATGAAGTAAGCCCTCCTCAGCCCAAGTTTCATAGGTTTTGAATGGTTTAGTTTAATAGAATTTACACCATAAATCATATAATGTTGATGTATAATTATATAGCATATGGAATTATTATGAACACATGTGGGAGAACAAGAGCAACGCCTACATATAATATAGTAACACTCTAAAGAGAAAACAGAAGAGGGAAAGAGATTTGAGTAAGGAATGGCCATCTTAAATGGGAAGGTAAGATGGCTTCCCTGATGAATGACATCTGGGTAGAGCCCAGGACAGCTGATAAAGCCAGCCTGGCAATCAGCAGTGGCAGAGCTGGGCAAGATCCCTGAGGCAGGCGAGAATCTAGATACAACAGAAGACGGAGGTGGGTGAGTGAAGCAAGTGGTCGTGGGGGGAGGGGGACCAGGCTACAAAGCCAAGAACGAAAGGCCATAACAAGACTCTGTAACGTTTACAGCTGACACTGGATGCCAGCACTCAGTCGGCACTCAACTGTGCTGGGATGAGGAGTGAGGAATATGCTGAAGAGCACGCCATGGTAGTCCAGATAAGGATGATGGCGCTGTGTGACAGCGGCGGGAAGCAGCAGAACGGGCATGCACTATCAAGGGGCGACACAATTTCTAGTCACAGCACACGGGGCTTGAGACACAGAGCCAAGGTTTCTACCACAGAAACTAGAAAGACGGTCATTTCTTAAGTGTGCACGAGGGCTGAAGAGGCAGGGTACCATGGAAGCAACAGAGCTGGGGTCAACCACAGCACGCCAGAGAACCCACCCTGTGCCACGTAGCTGGTCAGCACCCAGTCACGTTCATGCGGGAAACAACCAACTGATGCATGAAATGGCACAATCCCAAATCATCAGCTGTATATAGCTGATTGATTTAAAACACAAAGACATGAAGCACACAAATTAAATAACAATAAAAACAATTTAAACTAGTTGTCATGAGATAAGCCCAGCATACTGAGAGGCTAAGGGACAGGTGCATGACAAGCCTGAGACCAGCTGGGCTGAGATCCTACCTCAGTTAATTAATAATAAATAGTTTAGTGATTTAAAACGTCCTAAACTCAATTCTGTTTTTCTTTTAAGCCAAAACCAAAAAAACTCAAAACCAAACAAAAAGCAACAAAAAAACCCTTAAAGTTCTGATATCATTTTATTTTGAAATATAGTTATGTTTTAAATCACTTGGTAACTTAAACTCAATTTGCATAATCATTCCTAGTGAAGATCATTCTGCAAGAGAAGAAGAAATTAATCAGTGGCTGACACTCCTGCTTAAGATGGCAAACCTCTTAACCGCGTGCCACCGTCAGCACGTCGGTGCTCCGACGGCAGGGTTATGATGCTGACTCTGCACCCACTGTTCTTCCCAGGAAGAACAGGTGTGAGCAGTGTGGCAGGCTAGCTCCCTTGAGTGGAGGAGGAGGCAGTCAGAGCAGCTCACCCAAGCCTGAGGACAGAGTTTTTCTCCAAAACATTTTCTTTTAACAAAACATTCTTTACTTTGTTTTGTTCCTCAAAGACAGAATGCCTAAAACCCCATTGGCTTGTTTAATGACACCTTCCGAGGCAGACCCAACACAGAAAAAAAAAGAATAAATTACATAATAGTCATTATATTTACTACCTCTATATATTTCCTCCTCTTTCTTCAAATTTTTAAGTGCCCATAGACAATTTATCAAGACATACCATGTCTTGATCTGAAAAAAAAAAAATGGAAAAGAAAAGCATCAAAAATTTTGAAAATATCTAAACTCACAGTTATGCTCTGACTACAATCAATAATAAACATGAAAAAGACCACAGCAAAATCACAGCATACCAAGAAACCAAACAATGTATACTTTTGAAAAAAGTGAGTAAAAAATTGTGAAAGGAAACAAAAATATATTGAATTCAATGAAAATGCAATATGTCAAAAAAAATAATGTGGGGCGCAGCTATACTGGTGTAGACAGGAGAATCGATAGCGCAGAAAAGCTTATGTTTCAAAAATGGCGGGATAAAACCAAATCAATGACCTATATTTCTACTTCAAAAATTAAAAGAAACCCAAAGCAAGATTCGACAGATCCAAAACACTGGCTCATCAGAGGGCTGGGGAGACAGGAGCTGAACACAAGCAAGACCAAAAACTGTGGTGGGGTAAGAGACTCAGCAAGGGAGGGAGGAAAGAGGTGTCACTGAAGTCCCAAGGCCATCAGGACACTACAGAAAAGTTCAAGCTCATAAAGTTGGCATCTTAGAAGATAGAAAGAAATCAATTCCCAGACAACAGTGGCTGTAAACTTCATGTAAAATGGACCAGCCCAGAGAGTCCTGTAACAAGCAAAGAAATGAAGTCCTTCTGAATAGAGCACCTATAGACGCTGTGGGTCCCCAGAGGTTTCTTCTACTGTTAAGACTTCGCATCAAACTAAGGGATCTTGCCCAGAAAGAGAAAAGGACATTCTAGAGTGTCATAACACCTGCTGTAAAATCCTGACAAAGGCAAACTAAGAAATCATAGACAAATAGATAGCACTTATGAACTTAGATATAAAAACCCTCAACAAAAAGATTAGCAAGTCAGAGCTGGCACGAAGGCGGCGGATAGAGGTGCTTGCCACCAAGCCTGCTGAGCTGAGTAGGACTTCCAGGACTTCCATGTGGTAGGAGAAAGTGAATCTCATTGTTGTGCTCTGACCTCTATACACATGGTGACACATTTAAGCCTACACTCCCCATGTGACTGAATATGTAGGAAAATAAATAGAACTTTCAAGATTGTCTTATTTTGTGCTTGCTTTGGCAGTACACGTACTGAAATCAGAATGATACGGAAGAGTTTTGCATGGCCCTTTCACAAGAATGACACAAATAAGTGAAGTGCTCCATACTGTCTTAATATGATCAAAACAGTATGAAATTCTCAAAGAGTTAATAACAGTATTTTAAAACATAATGTGATTATTTTAATTTGAAAATAGGGTTATTAAAATATATTGGTTAATAGAACTCAGTAATGTACCCAAAATGGGGATATTTGAAGTATGCAAGGCTAGTTCAATACAAACCTTAGCATAATCTGCTGTATGAATGGGACAAAAGCATTATTTATCTACCAAATGAAGCAGAAAGAAACTGACAAGATTCAACCTTCATGATTTTAAAAACAGAAAGAACCTTCAGCAACTGGGAACAAATGGAATACTCTTAATCTCATGCAGAACATTGCAAAACCCTACATCTAATCAGTGTTCAAACCTGAATGTCTAGTCACTCAAGGATGTCAGCCCTCATCATTATATTACAGGAAGGCCTGTCCACTGGAAGAAGGAAGAAAATCACGAATAAAAGACATATTTCAGAAGGAAGAAATGCAAGTGTTCCTGTTTCTATAAAGGAAATCCCAAAGAAGATAGCACACACAGGCCTCCTGAATAGCACAGAACCAGACAAGACTCCACAGATGAGCACAGTCAAGGGCCGTGTTCACAAACAACAAACATGCTAAAGACAAAGCAAGACATGTGAAACCACAAATACCACCACCAATAATGGGAGCACTTAATTTTAAAAGGATGATCTGCTGGAAATTATAAAGTTCTGATTTCAGAAATCAAATAAAGAGGAGAAGGGGCTGAAAAAGACTGCTCAGCAGTTAAGAACCCTTGCTGTTTTTAAAGAGGAACTGAGTTTGGTTCCTAGCATTCCTATAGTGCTTACAAATGCTGTCAGCTCACAACTGCCTGTAACCCTGTTCTAGGAGGATCTGACGCCAACTGCTGGCCTCCCCAAGCACCTGTACATGTGTGTACATGCACACATGTGCACACACAAATAAAAAATGAAAAATCTTTTAAAAAAGAAATTTAAGGTAAATCTAAACACATGGGAAGACATTCGTGTTCATGGACTGAAAGAGCAGAGACAGTAAAGTTGTCAAATCTGTATAACTACACCATAAAAGTTAACAGAAGTCTGTTAAAATACCAGGAAGAATTGCCATTGATATGCACAAGGTTATTCTAAAGTTTATATGGGAAGGCAAAAAAAAATCTAGGCTATCTAAGACAATTTTGAAAAGGAATAAAATGGGAGAAAATTGCTTGTCTTGATGTGAAGGCTTAGTCTACAGCCATAGTAATAAAGCTGGCTTGGTACTGACAGAGGGGTCAAAGAAATAGATTGGGGAGCACAGGAAAGGCCAGACACAAGACAGACATCCAAGTGACTTCTGACAAGGGTGAAAAGCAAACTCAGTAGAGGGAGGACAGCCTCTAAAATGAAAGCCATTAGAACCAACTTAAAAACCCAGAAGGCAAAAGAACAAAACTCCATCTAATCTTCATATTGCATGCAATATCAACTTAAAATGGATCATGGACATGAATGCAAAACTACAAAACTTTTAGGAAAATATCAAGCATGAGGAAAACAACTCCGGAAACTGCCAGGCACACAGTCTTAGGGGTAGAAAAAGAAGGCTGCAGGGTGGCAGGGGAGGGGTGACTCAGTGGTTACAAGCATTTGCTGCTCTTGCAAATAACCTGAGTTGGGACGCAGCACTCCCATTAGATGGCTCCCAAATCCTCCTCGGAGCTGCATCTTCAGGGCATCCAACACTCTCTTATGGACTCTGTGGGCACCTGCATGTGCACATATGTATGCACAGACACATGTGTATAATTTAAAGACAATAAATAAAAGCATGCTATATTAAAGAATAGACAACTTGGAAAATAGTCACTCTGCTAAAGACCATACAGAGAAGAGGTAGAGACTGCTGAGCATAAGTGGAAGGGCAGAGGGAGGAGTATGTACACATGTAAACCTGGAAAAAGACGGGACTCCTCAAAACCCAACAGCAAAGTCCAAGCAAACAGAAAGAGAGAGGATACATGAACACAGGATCCATTGCAGAGGAGCTACAGGCGGGAAATGAGCACATGAAAGGTTGTCAGCACCCTTATCCACGAGAGAAATTTGAACTAAAACTACCACATGGTAAGGGCTGGAGACGGCTCAGCAGTTAAGACTGCTCTTGAAGAGGACCTTCATTTGCCTCCCAGCACAGTCAACAACTGCCTGTTAACTTCAGCTCTCTCGCCCTCTTTTGTACTCTACCGGTATTTCAACACGTGTGTGTGTGCGTGCTTGCACACACAAAATAAAATTAATTTAAAAAAAATCAACGACCACGTGCTCTCACTGCAGACTTTTTGGAATGGCTGGACTGTTGTTGGTGCATCGCCCATGCTCATAACAGCGTGAGGCTCGAGGTCATTCACATACAGCTGGAGGGTGAGTAAAGTGTTTCCTGACTGTATCATTCAGGAAACAAATTGGTGCTTTCTCACGAAGCTAGACAGGCACCTCCAGCGGCCCTGTAACTGCGCTCATGGGCATTTGTTCCACAGACATATGTTCACACAAAAACCTGTGCTCGGTGTTTACAGCAGTTTTAGTCCCTACAGGTAAAACTGGCCTGAAGCCAGGCACCCTTCCGAAGGTGAGAGGCTATACAGTGCAGGACACCCGCGGCAAGGGACACTTAGCACGGGTGATAAGAGGAGACAGATTAGAGCCAGCAAGCTGGAGAGATCTGCAGGCCATTTTGCAGAGTGAAAAAAGATGACACAAACCATGACTCATTCTATATAATATTCTTAAAATACCAGCATTATAGAAATAGGTATTAGTGGTCACCAGAAAATTGGAGCAAGGGGATGATTTACAAAAATAAGTGGGTGAAACAGGCAAATGTTCTTCAGATGATGACTCAGATATCAGTTGGCCTGGTTGAGATTTTATAATTTTGTAAGTAACACATTTTATAATTTATATTTATAAATATATACATCAGAGTACAAGTTTATAGTGCCACTGGGGAAGTCTGATTAAAAAGTATTAAAGTACAAGGGCCTCTGTGTATTGTTTCTAACAATTGCACACAAATCTACAGTTGCCTCAAAATAAAATTGTAAACAAATGTATTACTAATAGGGAAAAAGGAGAGAAAGCCATTCTCCTTTTAAAAATGATTATTTTATTTTTATGCATGTGCATCTGTGTGTGAGCTTGTACATGGGGGTTCAGGAAGTCTTGTAGTACAGAGGAGTATGCTGATCCCCTGGAGATAGAGGTACTGGCCTTTATGAGCTGCCCAAAGTGGGCACTGGGAACTGAACTTGTATGTTCTGGAAGAACAGCAAGTGCTTTTACCTGCTGAGCCATTCACCTGGCCTCAGGAGAAATCATTCTGATCATATGTTGTATGTTAATTTTTATCTGACTACAGAAAGAACGCCTATTCCCCACTGACAAGGAAGACAAATGAAAATGATAAGGATAAATAAGTTCACACTTGCACATCTGAAATGGAGACAGACAAGTGCCCAGCACGCACACAAGAAGGTGTCTACCCAGTTTGACCATAGACTGTGATTGCAAAATTAAAATAAAGACAGCACCAAATTCATGCAAATATGCATAGAACTGCAACTCTCATATATTATTTGCAAGAATGGATAGACCCCTTCCTCATGGTCAGTTTTGGACCCTACCTCTCATTTCCATGGTTATACTAGAAAGAGAAACAATATAATTATTTGTTCTTGGTTTTTAAAATAATTTGACAGAAGGTGGAATTTGCAAGACTTTGTTTAGGCCTATAAAGGGAAAACTATTTCCTTCTGGTCAAAAGAATGGAGTCTGAGTCCACCTCCGGCCCTGGGGTGGTGGTGGAGGGGGGGCACGTGACATTCTGATCTGCTCCAAAGGTTAGAATATTACAGACGATTCTCTCCTCCCTAAGAATTGATTCAACCGAGCCTGTCAATTCATCTGGCCTACCACTCAGGAAGGCTGGTTTACCTGAAGATGATGAAGGAGATGTGAGGAAGAAATATCCCCATAAGGAGATCATTGATTTAAGAATCCTAGAAGCCCCACCCTTGGGTCAGCTGCTTACAGATCTTCGATGCTCAGCTGGCTTGCTGAGTGTGTGTGTGTGTGTGTGTGTGTGTGTACACATAAACATGTATATATGTGTGTGATATATATTACAATGAGTCAGACAACTGGTGACTTGTTGAAGGTCACAAAGAAAGAAGATGTGAAGTTAAGGTCAAACTCCTGCAGTCTAATTAACTCTAATACCTTGCACTGTGAAAGTGACTATGCTACCCTCCCAACAGGGGCAAACTTTTCTGACTGAGAAGCACTGCATACTTCAATTCCCAAATCCAAAACAACATACACAAGCCTCTCACCAGTGACCATTCTCAGAGAAGTGGCCCCAGACAGTTATCACATTAGCTGGACAATCCATCCGAGGAACATACAACGTGGTAGAAAGATGATTACATTAAATATCCTACAAGCAAAACAGCTTGAAGTCAGCAAGACAGGAAGACCAGTGTTAACTGGCTAGCTGACAAAACACAGCATTCGGGCAAAACAACAAAAAGTAAAATTAAACAAACAAACAAAACAAAACAGAAATAGGAGAAAATTGTGTTGGACTCTAACTTGCACCTACGTATTGCCGAGAACAAGCCGAGACGTGTGATGGTGCCACCAGAGACCATAGTTTTAAAAAACTGAAATACAAATCAAGGAGTTCAGGTCAGACACAGTGGCCTTTTCTATATATAATGCTCTAGGAAGCTGGCTGAACATTACACATCAAATCATCCGGGCTTACCTATAACTGGCTCTCTTTCTTTTAATGAGATTCTGGTGCACAACTTTAAGTAGGTCTGGCGGGCCGTCCTCTTCTCACGGCTGCAAATTTTACAAACCCAATGACCGGCATTTCCTAAAACTACGTAATGTCAGAAAATATGCATTTTTTTGTAAATAGTACACTTAGGCTAATAAGCACATACAATGTGTCC